GACTCTTTAACCAAATCCCCCTTTTAAGTTTAATCGCATTGAAAAAAATTTAGTAAAAATGATGAAATTATGAGTACTGTTATTTGTACGTAATTATGTACATAGTGGTCACATGAAAAAGACAGAAAGATTATAATAAATGGATTTATTTTATTTTCGCGTTTTTCTCTCTTTTCATATCATCATTATGTACATCATTATGTTTAAATAGCATTATCCCGAAATTCATCTTTATTCGATGTCAAATTTATACTTTAACATGACAAAGAAAGAATTTATTCCAATCCCGATCCCGATCTCGATCTCAAAAATCTTTGCCTTTCAAAAATCTTGTATCTCGTGCTCCAACCTTACACCCAAAAATAACCCAAATCTTTGCTCGACCCATTTCGAAAATAAATTATTTTCGACATGGTCTCCATCCGTCTCTGCCCGACACGTTTCGAGAATAATTATTACCAACCTGACCCCACCCATTTATGCCTAGCCTTTGAAGATCTCCAATCTTATGCTCAACCTTTCTCCAAAAAATTTGCCCACCCCTTTTCCGACTTGTTTCAAAGCCATCACTTGGTGCTTACTAAAGGCATTAAGTCATGTCTGATATAGAGAACATGTTTGGCTAAAATTAAAATTGAAAATATAGTCGTCATTGCGTCCTACTCGTATAATAAAAGTCAACAATAACAGCTAATTTTTCAATTTTAATCCGATTTTAATCTTAGCCAAACATGCTCTCTATAAAATTTATTTTTTCCTAAAATTATAGTCAACCTCATATTCTTTAATAATAATAATAATAATAATAATAATAATAATAAATGAATAAAACAACATTGCATATGAATCCTATACTGTTTTAGAATAGATTGTAAACTCGTTTTTCTAAAACATTGTGAGCAAAAGTTATAGTTATTGTTCTAAAAAACGACGTCTAGGTGCAAAACATCTCGCTTTGTGCTTTTTCATTTTTTTCGCGCGTAGGTGAGCACATCGCGCTATTTTTTTTTTTTTTTTAACACTTTTTTACTTCTTTCAACGCTTTTCTATGCTTTTTTTTTTTAATTATTACACAATTTTTAAATTGATTTGAAAATCTGAAAATAATATTAAAATAAAAACGCTTTTTAATTCGTATATCGCGCTTTACGCTTTAGAACCCGAGCTATTATGAGTGGATATGGTAGAAAAATTTTTGTCATCCCAAATTTCGAAGCAGGCCAATAGCTTCGAATTTTCTGATTATTAAAGCACGTTTATAGAAAAAAACTCAAAAAGTCACTCTACGTGGTTCAGAATCATACAGCGTCGTTTTATGTCTTATCTATTGATAATTTTCACAAAATTCGTCCCTTTTCCGCCTTCTCCACGTATATGACAATTAATGAATCACACACAATTCGACAATTCCCTCTTTCTGGAATTTTGATTCGTTTTTATCTTTATTGAATTTTATCTGCAGAATTTTGTTATTTTTCAATTGGGGGATGATGATGGAGGAAGCATATGTTTTTGGATTTCAATTTGATGCAAAATTTTGTGCTTAATGAAGTCGTGAAGCTCTTGGACTGGAGGTGCCTACTGTTATTTTCAGTTAGGTAAAATATTAAATATCCACTTTCTTTTTCTTCTTGTATTTTGGTTTTTGTTTGTAGCTGAATGAATCGATACAGGATGAGTGTTTGGGACTTGATTGATTTCCGTTTATGTCAAGTTCATATATGGATTGAATTTCTAGAATTTGTAAAAAACTTGGTTCAATTAGTTTATATTGTCTTGGGGTATAATTGGTTTTACAGAATGTACGTGAATTAAATTTGTACATTGTGTGGTTAAGTTTGTTTTTAATTACCAAAATAAGTTTAATTTCGTACTCATTTAAAAGCTATGTGTTGTTATAGGAGGATTGCCTCAAATGAATCGGGTATTGAACATTTTGACTTAGTTACAAAGCTGAGCTATTTTCTTGTAAAGCTTCATTATAATGTTAGTGGCTAAAATGAGTGCTTAAATGAAAATGGAGTGAAAATTTTGTAATGGATTTGCTCTGGATGGCTTATCAGTTAAGTTGCAATATTATATCATGTGGTAAGTTTGATGAGAAGTTTACAAATATAAGTAAGTTTGTAGTGGAATCTCATTAAAAGGAGTGCACTTAATTGGTGATATGCTTCGTTTTTAGCTAACAGGATTTTCTAGAAAGAGAAGCATTATGGTCAGTAGAGTAAAGAATCTTGGAGCTGCGCGTCCTGAGAAACTGCCAGAAACATATAATTGTATTGTTAATCTTGAGGGTTTGCTCGCGCAAGTTGGCCCGAATATCCACGGTTATAAAAATGACTTGTTAATAAATTTTGATTCCTCGAGTGATTTTCCCACATTTTTGAATGATATAAAAGGTCTAATTTTTTTTCCTGGGGAGTCGAATAATTTATATTTCTATCCAACGCAAAATTTAAACTTTGACCATAGTGTCACTTGTTTTGGGCAAAATTGTACTGCAAATTAATTTGAATAGCTTATTATTATTATTATTATTATTATTATTCTATCTCTGTACTTTTATCCTTTTTGGTTTGGAATGAATTACCTAAGACTGTTAGATGAGGTTTGAATGATAATATGATGAAAGTTACTCTGTTACCGTTGGCATGAAGAGGTGGTAGAATCTCCACAACAAGGATAGAAAGGATCTAATTGTTGCGAAAGATGTGTCTATAATCAATGATGGTTTTTCATTGTACAGAATTCAGTGAGGTCATGAATGATGTGAAGTTATTGCAGTTCTGTACAAAAATTATGTCTATGGAAGTGAACGAGTTGATGGTTACGCTTTTATGATTGGGTAAAGACTTTAGCTATGAAAAGAGAAGAGACACTCGTTTCTTAGTTTTAAAAGGTCATTGGTCAGTACCTTCACATCGGGTTTTATCTGCCTTTTCTTTTCGTAACAAACAAGGAAATAATTATGGTTGGCATTATAAACCAAATGAAGTCATATTATTCTATGATGTGAAAGTGGCTGCAAGTTCTGAATATAAAATTTAAACCCTAAACAATGTAAAAGATTAACCTAAAATAACAATTAACTCTACAGTTTCTTGTATTTCCCCCTTTGACCTTGATAGATATTCTCAGTAAACACCGCACCTTCCTAAACTTGACCAGCATTCAAGAACAAAGTGTGGTTTACGACAGGTTGTATAGCTTAGATAACTATAGATTTCATAAGTTTCAAGGGTTTTAATCTTTTGAAAGGACAAGTAGAATGTGTGGAGCTTCACTTAAACAATTGTCAACTTATTAAGATGGTTATGAAGATTGTTTGAAAATTAAAAGTACTGCTAAAGAAAAGGAGAGAGGATAGAGGTGCATACTTAATTTTTAGAGGTTCAGTCCTTCAGGACCTATAACAACTTCCAAAGGTCTGCCTTTGGAATTTGGACAATACAGTAGCAACTTTTTTTTTCTAGGAAATCCTTTTTAAATTCAGTCGATAAGAATGACTTCCTAAATTGACAACAACAGTGGCAGTTACAGATAATAATTAACAAGAAAAAGATTGATTATTTCTAACAACATTAATATGAATATAAATTGTTTCGCTATTTCCTTTCTGCTAATCACACTGGAAAGCCCTGTAAATAGGCCGATACTCTAATGAAACTCATAAAGAGTGTTCATATAATCCATGTATTTGATATTACAATGTAAATACTTTTTAAAGAGTATAGTTTAAGAGTTCAAAAATACAGTGATATACTTAATTTTTTGTAGACTTGCTTTAAAGTTCATATTTTGTTGTCCTATAATCTGATTCTTTTGTCCATCTTTGTATTAGCTTTTGTTTAATATATGCAACAATCAAATAACTCTCGTATGGTGTTTGTATTCCAATGTTTATCCAGAAATATTTTTAGAGATCCACTGTTGTGTGTTTAATAGATTAAAATTAGAGTAGGCAATTGCTTAAGAAACTTGGATGATAAGTATTAGGTGAAAACAGATGTCATTCAACAACTTGATTTGGAAAACCAGGCTTCAGGAAACCTGTTTGTGGACTTCTAAATTATGCATCGGCTTTTTCCTCCATCTAAAATTCATTTGAACTTTTGAAATGTAGAAGGATGAGTTCTAAACTAACTTTTTAGACTTCTGAATGCTATTTAGACTTCTGGAATTGAATCTTAGACTTTTGAAATGAACTTGACAGCTTATACTTTTAATAATTAATTTCCGGGCTTACTTATTTTCTACCCTCCGAAGTCATTTCATTGCCTTCATAGATTTCTGAAGCTGTGTTGATTCTGGATATAAACTTTTTTCGTCTGAGTCCTGACTTCTGTTTCTGAAATCAAATTTCTGCTTTGGAGTTGACTTGTGCAACGCATTATAAACTCCTGTGCAAAAGCACAGAGTTCTTTTGCCCATATTATAAACTTTTCCTTTGTGTTCTGGACTTCTGAAATTCCTGCTAGACTTTTGCTTGTATTTTTCAGATGATGCCTATGTTCAACTGTCGGTTTTGGATATCACATTTTTATACACAACTTTTTGATGTTGAAATAAAATGGCTTTAACTTGCTAAATACAATACTTTGCTTCTCTAGAATTATCAAAAGTTGGGAGGTTAAGTGATTGATGTCCACAAGAAAGTTGTGTCATATAAGAAGACATGCAAGATGGTATCAACATTAGAATTACCTGGTGAAACCCCTTTAGTTAAACGAAGTCTTTGGTACAAAAATGGAGACACAGGATTAAGTTATACTCTATTTCCTTAGGTATTTCATATAAATCTCTCTCTCTCTCTATATATATATATATATGCCCATCCCTCTCTCACTCTCATCAATACACAGACTTATACAGCTACTGATTTTCTTTGTTTGTCAGACATTTTTTTTCCCCATATAAAGCATTGCCTATGTTTCTCAGGATTTGGGTTAGCTTTTAATTGAATGTAGGGGTTTCAAAGTGATGACTGTAGCTGTGGATATATGTGGGAATCAACCGTCACGTCAGTTGATGCCTTGGAAGATGGTAGCCTTTGCTTCCTAAACGTACACTTAGTTAGTTTTTCACATTAAGTAGGGTGTTCTTTAATTTGAATCTTTTTTTTCCCCGTTTTATTTATCTTTTTCCGATAGAGACCCAGAAAAATATATGGCATACATCAAATGCAGTAGCATAAATTTTACCCTTGGAGCTGAATCTAAAATTTTACCACTGGAACAAGGCTTGTAATGTCACGTTCTTTAAAACTATAACCAAAAAATTGAAGATTTAACTAGCTATTTTGATTTCTTATGTTTCCTAGCAATTGGAGTTCTGAAGATGTCATACGTAATGATCTTTCTCTACCTTATTTCATTTGAACATCAACTGAAGGATTAGAATGTTTTTTATGTGCAGTAAGCATGATGAGCATTAAGGATTGGGTTTTATCTCAATTAGTATCCAAGTCACTAGCTTCATCGAGACCGCTATCAGCATCAGACAGCTTTTTATCCGAGGAACCACAAAATGTAGACTTTGACAACCAAGGTATCACCTTTTCCAAGTCATTATTATTTCTATTTTTTTGTGTGCTTTCTGTGTGTAAAAATAGGAAACTAGTGTTTACGAACTTTTTTAATGTTCTCTTGCCCCTTTTTTGGCTGCCATTGTTTGAAAGTGCGAAATTTTTTTGACCAGGTTCATATATAAAAATTTATTTTTGAACTAGTGTTGTGCATCCTTTTTGTCATAAATGAGGTTTTATGATTAACGAGGGTTTATCATCAGACGCAGCAAGCAATTTGCAATTAAATACGGAGTTACCACCACTTGTTTCCTTGTGAGCTTGTGTACTCCAAAACTTTCTTGTATAGTTTACTCTTTTGAGAACTATAACAAGCTTATCTTTCTTAGAGTTATATTTTGTAAAACCTAAACAAAACTTTCAGTGATTTGAAATGGAAAAATCAACACCAGGGCATTTCCCTTGTTTATATTATAAAATGAAGAGGACACACCCTCTTATCAGCATTAGCAATAAAATCCAACTATCAAACACTACTGACCTATTTAATATTTGCTGGCCAAACTGCCCAAGCACATACAGCTGCCGAGTCCTTTCAGTTCTGGGAATACCATGTGACTAAGACCGTATGGAAAACAAAAATCAATCTCTATATAGATTCCTGGTCATATGAATTTCACTGTTGTTCTATAATGACTCTTCTAAATTAAACAATGCAGCAAACATGTAAATGAAGTTCATCCATTGGCCAACAGCGATAAATATCCCTGATGTGGTACTAGAATTCGTTTAAGTTTTGACATTAACGATCAACTCTTTGGGTCTGAGGACTGTCTTGTTTGCTTCTGTGATTGTATTTGTGCGTGGTGCATACCACGCACTCCGGAGAGGGAAGGAGGTTAACATATAGTTGATCAGATGACCGTATTATTGTTTCTTGTTTTGCCGGTTTTGTGGATAATGTCAACTGACATGAACCATGTGTACTATATGAAATGATTGTTCTCATCTTAGTTTTTTACCTTGAGGAAAAAAAAAATCGAATTAGCTTCCATCTTATTGTCATCAGCTGAAATAGGTCCAACATTTATTTTTGGTTAACTGTATAAATACCAGTGTTCTAAAAGGCGCGCCTAGGCTGAGGCAAGACCAAAATGCCAAGCCTATTGGGTTGGCGTCTTATTTGGCGGTCAACGACAGTTGTTGAGGCGAGCTTTTTTTTTTTTACAATTCTTTTGAAGTTAAAAAATATTAAATGCTAATTTCTTCAGTTTGCCTTAATTTAAAATTAAAACAACCATTTAAATCCAAAAGTCAAGTGATCAACGAATCTTATTTACGGTAGATAATTTCTTAAGACACCCGAGTTATTAAAAGAAAAATGGTTGTTTAAATTTGAAACTTATATTTTTGTTGGAAACTTTGAAAAAATGTACAAAGTTTCTATAAATCTGTTTTAAATGTTTAGTAAGTATTATTTTTAATTGATTAAAAATTAAAATAATATTAAAATAAGAAAACGTCTTTTTACGCTTGTTTACGCATATGCCTCGCCTAAGCTCGCCTAGCCCTGGGCTTAGCCTCCACGCATCGCCATGCATTACGCTTTTTAGAACACTGCCCTTCTGTATTTTTTTTCTCCAATAAATAAATGGCTTTTTACTTGTCAGATTGAATTATTGTTTTTTGCTTGAGATCTTTTTTATACTTTCGGTGAAGGGCTGGTGCTTGGCTCACAATTGGCTTTCTGCAAATCTTCTGATGAGTTTGCTAAAAATATAATTGAAATCTCCAGTTATCCTTGGATTTGTCACTGTATATTAAACTTTTTTACCTACTTTTATTTCACACATCAGGTTTTGGTTGCATTACCACCAATTTGATTACTGTCAATTAAAACTGTTTTACCTACTTTTATTTCAATCAGGTTTGGGCCGCGTTACCACCAATTTGACTGCTGCACCAGCGTCATCCGACATGTCTTGCTCATCCAATGATAATCAGACAAATCAGAGTTTCTCATCTCAGCCAATGGAAAGTCCTTCTGTGTCTAATAGTAGCATTGAGAAGAAATCAGATCCTCTGGCGAGGGTTGAAGGTCTACAAATTAATTTTTTGCGTCTAGTTCAAAGCCTTGGCTGGTCTCAAGATAATCTTATGGTGGCAAAGGTTTTATATCGGATTCACTTGGCAACTTTGATACGAGCAGGGGAATCAGATTTGAAAAGAACTAATCTCAGAATTGATAGAGCTCGAGCAACGGGTTCAGAACAAGGAGCTGGTCCACCTGAACTGGACTTTGCACTTAGAATACTTGTTTTGGGTAAAACTGGTGTTGGCAAGAGTTCAACTATAAATTCAATATTTGGTAATACAAACGTAACAACTGATGCGTTTCAGCCTTCTACTGATCAAGTTCAAGAGATTGTGGGAAGTGTCAACGGTCTTAGAATAACTTTCATTGATACTCCTGGCCTATTACCTTCCTCAACAAATAGCTCCAGGAAAAACAAGAAAATTTTGCTCTCTGTCAGGCGATTTGTTAAAAAATCACGTCCTGATGTAATCCTGTATTTTGAGCGCCTCGACATGATCAATTCGAATTATTGTGATTTTCCATTGTTGAAGCTCATAACTGACCACCTTGGCCATGAAATCTGGTTCAACACAATCCTTGTTATGACTCATTCCTCATCAGCACTTCCCGAAGGTCCAAATGGGTATCCTGTAAGCTTTGATTCTTATGTCACTCACTGCACTGATCTGATGCAACACTATATTCAACAGGCAATATTGGATACGAAGCTTGAAAACCCTGTAATTTTGGTGGAGAATGATCCACACTGTAAGACGGATGACAGGGGGAGAAAGATTCTTCCAAATGGCCAGCTATGGAGGTCCCATTTCTTGTTAATATGCATATGCACCAAAATTCTTGGTGATGTCAATATTCTTTTGGGATTTGAAGACACTGTACAATTGGGGCCTTTAAGTAATACCCGATTGCCTTCTTTACCTCATCTTCTCTCATCTTTTCTTAAACATCGAATTCAATTGAACCCAAATGCAGCAAATGATGAAATTGATGAACTCTCTCTTTCATACATGGACGAAGGAGATGAATATGATCAATTACCTCCTATTCGAATTCTGTCTAGAGTTCAGTTTGAGAAATTGACAGTGTCTCAAAAGAAAGCTTATCTTGATGAGCTGGATTACAGGGAGACCCTTTATTTAAAGAAACAGCTGAAACAAGAATTTCTTAGAAAAAAAGAGAACGAAAATGTTGGTGTGACCTCTGATGACAGTGCTGATAACCAGGATTCTCCAACAGCAGTCTTGTTACCAGACATGGCTGTCCCTCCTAGTTTCGACTCAGATTGTCCTGTTCATAGATTCCGCTGTGTCGTTACAGGTGACCAGTGGCTTGCGAGGCCAGTTCTTGATCCCCATGGATGGGATCATGATGTGGGATTTGATGGTATCAACCTCGAGACTGCTGCTGAAATAAGGGAAAATGTTATTGCTTGTGTCACAGGACAAATGAGCAAGGACAAGAAAGATTTCAGTATTCAGTCTGAAGCAACTACAGCTTTTACTGATTCTAGAGGCTCTATTTATAGTGTAGGTCTTGATGTTCAATCTGCTGGGAAAGAATTGGTCTGCACAATTCGCAGCAACACAAAACTCAAGAACTTTAAGAACAATGTTGCTGAATGTGGTGTTTCTGTGACATCTTTTGCGGATAAATATTATTTTGGTGCTAAGATTGAGGACAGCTTCTCAATAGGGAGGCGACTGAGATTTGCAGTAGATGCTGGTCGGATGGGAGGAAATGGACAAGTGGCTTATGGTGGAAGTGTCGAAACTACTTTAAGAGGGAAAGACTACCCTGTGAGAAACGAGAAGGTCAGTGTCTCAATGACATTCCTCTCATTTAACAAAGAGACAGTTTTGGGTGGCAATTTACAGTCTGACTTCAGATTGAGCCGAGGTACGACAATGTCAATGAATGCCAATTTGAATAGCCGGAAAATGGGCCAGGTTTCTATAAAGGTCAATAGCTCCGAACACATGCAATTAGCTTTAGTTGCAGTTGTCTCCATTTTCAGAGCCCTTTTGCAGAAAAAGCCTGTTAATGATCTTGAAAGTAGAGAATCTCTTGAAAGAGGATGATTATTTCGTTTTCATTTGATCTCAACGTGTTCACTTCTCAAAATTAGAGAAATTCTCAAGCCTCGAAATCTGCAGGTAACTCTATCGTGTCAATTTTGATTCGATAACTTTGTATGCTATTGATATGAAGACAATGATCATATAGTACATTTTCCTATGGCTTTTGATGGCCAAAGAGGTTTTTATTAGCCTAATAGGTGTACTGGAGTGACAAAAATGTGAGGGCACGGAAAATACTCCTGTATTTTCTTTATATCGAGAGTTAAATTGCAAAAAAGGTAAGAATTAATGAAGGAAAAGTTTTCGTCAACATTCTTGGATTAAATGAAGCTGTAAGATATTTATCCTGCACTCTTTGAAATGGCTGCTAACTTTTTCTTTCGAAATCTTCACGAAGAGGTGATAGATAGATTAAACTGGTTGCCCTCTAAAGAGTGATAAACAGAATAGTGCATCATGGCTTGATAATTTCGTTAAATTTAAGAATCATTGCTGTGATTTTGAGAAGTTGAAAAATACTATGAAAGATATGAGTTATTGTATTAGGATTTTCGTTCACATTATGAGGTATTCTTTTGATTCTATCATTGTAGTTTTGGAGAAATTTGTGGGTTAATAAAGGTCTCTAACCTTTTATTTATTACTATATTTATGTCTTTTAACTTTTTTTAATCATAGTCTTATCATTAACCTTTTATTGGTTAGTAGATTTTGTCCCTAATGATGAAAGTTTGGTTAGTGTACTTTAAAATGAGGAATAAATATTTAGTTGCTATTTTGGTTTTACTGTTTTTTGTTTATTTAAAATACGAGGGGAAAAAATCTTTTTACCTCTCATTAGAACTTTTGGAAGAGAACTGTTGTCGAAGACAAAATGTTTTAATTAATGAAACGTTGATGATAAACATGTGATAAGAAAATTTGGCATACATTTGACAGTTAATAGGGATTATGAACCTTTCATGCGATTAAAATGTGTGCACTTATAAAATAAATTGACGTGTTAATATATATAGCCAAAAAATTAGAAAAACCTAACCTTTAAAAGAAATATGTAAAGATCTATGACACTGACACATAGACTGTTGTTCAGCACCACGAAACTTAGATAGCATTGATGTTCATCCTCTTTGATGTGATGTATAAAAAGTTTTTTAAAAATTTTAGAAAGCGATATTGCAAACAAAAATATATTTTTATAGATGGTTTCTCTTTCTACATTAATTTTAATGTAACAAGGCATAGTTATTTTAGTATAATCACGTTTTAAAAGATTGGTAGCCACCAACAAATTTTCAGTACATAGGAATATTAAAAAAGGATTCAGTAAATGACAAATAACTAAAATAATCTCTTTCCTATCTTGCATTTTATTTAACTCGGAAGTTCCTTTCATATTTTTAAAGGGGTTCTTTTTGTCCTTCTTGGGATCCTCCGGTGGCATCGGCGGACTTGGTGAGTTAAGTTCGATAAAGAATCAATCTCAAATCTCAATGTCTCTGATTCTCTTCTCCAGTTCTTCTAGCCCCAAGGAAAAACTGGAGGGTATCGGGGCAAGTTGTGGACCTTTTTTTTTTTTTTCAAGGCCTTTCAAAATCTTGAGGCCTTAGGACCTAGTTTGACTTGGGTCAAGGCCGATCCTATTGGTAACCCTAATCCACCTTAACTCAATTTATTCCTCATAATCCTATCTCCATGTTCGGTAAAATTTCTCAAGCGTACGAAATCGTTGACAAGTAATGTGTAGTGAGTTACTAATATCGTCTCACAAAAGAATAAAGTTCAACTTTAGCATAGTAATTACTACCAAATTCGATAAATGTAAGACAAAAGAGATTGATTGTTGTAACTATGAAAGCAATAAAGATTGATTTTTATCAAATAACGAAAGGAATGTATTGGATTTCCGACTACACCTATTCACGTCTAGTCCTAATTCTCGACTTATGTTAATTAGTGTGGTTAGCGTGTTTGTGACAATGGATAATCCGACAATATTCAATATTCTTCTTCAACATATATCAAATCTATGTTTAACCCAACCCGATCATATCCATACTCCGAATTTATATGAAAAACATGCATTTAATAATATGATTATCATATGCGATCGCACACGCCATAAATATTATTCATAATATCTATTGCTCGTGTTAAATATTTAGTATTCTACCTATTATGAATTTTTCAACAAGACAAATAAGCAACTTATATGTCACAATGGTGCACAAACATTTAAACAATTATAATTAATGCATATGAAATCACAAACAAGAGAATTAACTAAAAAACAAGTCTCGAATTATAAACTATCAATCAATAGGTTTTGTCATCCATCTAATACATAAAAGATTATGCCTAGCATTGCCATATAAAAATTACACACAAAAAAAAAAAAAAAGAGAGAGAGAGAACCGGCATCACTCGAGGCTAAGAAACTTGAGAAAAACGTGAAAACTCCAATTCCTCTTTTGAAACTCGACCCCAAAAGATGCAATTCCGCTATTTGAATGTAAAAATCTTCAATTTCTTGATCAACTACGTAAAAACCCCATTTAACTTGTTCTGGATGTGCATTCCAATGTATAAGATGTAAAAAGATTGCATTTCATTGTTACCAAAACAAAATACGGAAAAAAATCAACATTTCTCATTTTTGAACTGAGGCACGCGCCTAGGCCAACCTAAGGCATGTGCTTGGATGATTTGTGCAGCCTCAGACGTCTCAAAATAAGCTCAGGCGCCCGCCTCACCTGTAGGCGAGTGCCTTGGTTCATGTGTTGGATAGTCATCAATATTTTTGTCGAGACTTTCCCTCTAGACATTCGATTGAGATAATTCAACATACATTGGAAAGATAACTCAAATGACTGCAATTATTCTAGAAATAACATTTTCCAATTCGAACGTTTGCAATATCAAAAATGTGTCTCAGTATGAGACTGAAAATCTGGAACGTAACTTTTTCGGTTGGAAATTGATGTATAATAATATTTTGACTATATTTCATCACTTTGACTTCTTTTCTCATCGAATTGACACCTAGCACATCTCAAATCTTAAGTTTGAGTTCAACACAACTTTTGAATATTTGCACTTTAGTCCCTGAAGTTTGGATCTCTTACAATTTAGCCAATTCTCACAATTTCTCTCCAATTCTGCCATTTATGTCGATTTATACCTAACAAACCCATAATTCATCAAAATAACTTATAAATACTATAACTTAAATGCCCAAATAAGTATGCAAAATACACTTATCAAACCCCCAAATTTGAATATTTGTTTGTTCTTAAACAAACTATAGCCTATCTCACAACATAATCGGTTAGATAACATGTCGTTGGTCTTAGAATTGAAATTTTTGGGCCAATAAAAAGAATAATTTCAGAATCACATAGACGAATCAATCTCTACCCACTCAATGTAAAACTCGACGTGTGTGTTGAAGACTTATATAAAATATTGCAAATTCATGCTTGGTTCAATTCTCGATCCTCAATGGTCAAATGTCTAATTTCTTTACTCATGAGATACATACTCCAAACTTATTATTTCCACTCATTTCCCCAAAGTGTGATTTTAGGCTGAATTTCAGATTATTCTCATCCTTACTCTCTCTAGTTTGAATAAGTTTCACTAGTAGCAATTAAGCACTTCAACAATTAAAGATTCCTATATTTTGGCTGCTTCAACATCTAAGACTCAATGAGGATAATTATCTCTTATTAAAGGTCAAGTTCTTTCAAACAAGTGTTCGGGGCTTAATCAAAGTATATAATACGTTTTTTTATTCAAAATCTTATGTGCGAACTTCTCTTCGCTAAGGTTTGTAAAGTCAGATGACTATAGGATATCAGGTTGGTCTCAGAATTGAAATTTGGCCAATAACTGTCAAGTCAAATGACTATAGGATATCAGGTTTTAAATACCTTTGTAGACTTAATCACTCGAATCATAAAGGTTATGAAGAGATGTTTCACAATGAGACAATTTTTCTTATTGTTGCCATGATTATTGCAATGCCCCTCATTAAATATTCATTCAAAAAAACCAATCCTTAATTTAAGATTTTCACCTCATTTTTATCTTATTGGCCTTGAACAATTCACACAAGAATTTCATGTGAAGAATCCTTAATCATATCAATGTCTTCTTGCACTAGTTCAACCGTTTCTAAATTATCCTAAAATTGGAATAGGGATGTATGTAATAATTGTCTTTCTTGGTTTTAGCAACTAAATTTCAATATTTTCAACATATTCTAGCCTATGAATTAAAGCACTTATTCGTGATGCAAAAAAAATACAAATCTCATGCGCAAGTAAGAATAAGTTCTACCTGAATAAGCATTAATCAATTCCAACATGTAATATTTTCATCATTCATAGTCTAACACATAATTTCAATATATACATATTACCAGCAAGACAATCTAACCCATACAAACATACAAAAGCAATAAAAAGCATAAAAGAACATGTTTTTCTGTTTTTTTTTAAAGTTTATTTTACTATATAGCACATAACAAGCATGCAAACATAATTATAACACATACATAAAACGTACATTGTCCTCAATGTACGAAAATATAACACTAAGTATGCAAATATAAATACAGAGGGGAAACTGAAGACTCCCCTATTTAAGTAGAAGGTGGTGGCAGAAATGTCGAGGTAATGCAAGAGCTAGATGGTCCATGTGAACGCGTCGTCTCCCTTGGCTAGTGTTGGTTTGAGCGTTCATAAATGTCATGTTCATGTAAAATGAATAAAATTCAAACATCAATGGCCAAATAACTTTGAACAGTTAATAGTAAACCCAAAACATCTCAAAACCGACAAGAAATTGAAGGTACGAAGGGAAAACGAAATAGTGGATGTAGGCATTTTTTTTAATGCATGGATTATAGCACCTGAATAAAAATAAACTCCATATCCTATATCTAGAAAACGTAATAAATAAAAAAGAAAAAAATTGATGCGTGATATTATTTTGAT